ACCATTCCCAGCCGGGAAGTACCATTCCAAGCCGGGCAGGACCATTCCCAGCCAGGAAGAAGCATTCCAAGCCAGGCAGGACCATTCCAAGCCAGGAAGAACCATTCCAAGCCAAGCAGGACCATTCCCAGCCAGGAAGAAGCATTCCAAGGTAGGAAGAGCCATTCCCAGCCGGGAAGTACCATTCCAAGCCGGGCAGGACCATTCCCAGCCGGGCAGAACCATTCCAAGCCGGGCAGGACCATTCCAAGCTGGTTAGAACCATTCCCGGCCGGATAGAACCATTCCCGGCCGGATAGAACCATTCCAAGCTGGTTAGAACCATTCCCAGCCGGACACAACCATTCCAAGCTGGATAGAACCATTCCCAGCCGGATAGAACCATTCCCTGAGGCGCCGCGTGGCGCGGGGGGCGGGCCGGGCGCGCGCAGGGCGCATGCGCAGTGTCCCCCGTGTCCCGGCGGCGGCGGCGAGCGCGGGCGCGTGCGCGGCGATGTCGGGGTACGGCGTGGAGGAGCGCGCCGGGCCCCACAGCCCCGAGTACCGGCTCTTCTTCAGTGAGTGCTCCGGCCGCCGCCGCCGCGGCCCCCCCGCGCCCCTTCCCGCCCCTCCGCACCCCCCCAGCGCTCGCCTGAGCCCGCCCAGGTGGGAGCTGCCGGGGGGTCTCACTGCCGGCCCCCTCCCTTTGCCTTGCAGAGGATGCCGCCGGGCGCTACATCTCCCCGTTCCACGATATCCCCATCTACGCGGACGCCGGGAAGGTAAGAGAAGGTCCTGAAACACGCAGGGCATCGGGGACTCCTGAAACATCCGGGAGATTCGGGGTTCTGAAACGTCCAGGGGACATGGGGATCTGGGAACGTCCAGGGGACCAGGAGATCTGGGAACATCCAGGGGACCTGGGAACCATCCGGGAGATTCGGGGTTCTGAAACGTCCAGGGGACATGGGGATCTGGGAACGTCCAGGGGACCAGGAGATCTGGGAAAACACAGGGGACCAGGGGATCTGGGAACATCCAGGGGACCTGGGAACATCCAGGGGACCAGGGGATCTGGAAACACACAGGGGACATGGGGATCTGGGAACATCCAGGGGACCAGGAGATCTGGGAACATCCAGGGGGATTAGGGGATCTGGAAACACACAGGGGACCAGGGGATATGGGAACATCCAGGGGACATGGGGATCTGGGAACACACAGGGGAGCAGGGGATCTGGGAACACACAGGGGACCAGGGAGTCCTGAAACATCCAAGGGACCAGGGGTCCTGAAATATCATGGGGACTAGGGGATCTGGGAACATCCTAGGGACTAGGGGGTCTGTGAATGTCCGTGAGATCTGGGATCCTGGAACATCCAACATGGGGATCTGGGAATGCACAGGGGACCAGAGGATCTGGAAACATCCCAGGGACCAGGGGTCCTGAAACATCCGGGAGATTGGGGAGTCCTGAAACATCCAGGGGATCTGGGAACACACAGGGGACCAGGGGATCTGGGAACACACAGGGGACTAGGGGTCTTGAAACATCCAGGAGGATTAGGGGATCTGGGAACATCCCGGGACCAGGGGTCCTGAAACATCCAGGGGACCAGGGGATCTGGGGACCACAGGGTCCTGCAGCCTGAGACTCCTGGGGGAGGCTCCCAGCTCCCCAGACTGCAGGAGCACCTCATGGAGTCATTGTCTCCCCCCTGCAAGGAATGGGTTTCTCGCCGTCCTGGCCTCGGGTGGAGCGACCCAGGAGAAGTGAATGGATGATCTCATTCTCATTTTTTTGCGTCAGAGACGCGAGTGGCTGGCTTGAGCTTGCCCATGCAGGCGTTTTGGGTTAGCTAAGCAGAAAACTGCTTATTTTGTAATACCTACACCCATTCCTAAGGGTTCTGCATGATATTTCAGGCTTGGGTTTTGGCTGCAGTATGGCCTGCAATATAATCTGACACTGAATAAGAAAGATGAACAGGTTAAATTCCTGCTGTAGCATCTCCTGGGACCTTTTCCCTGGCAGAACCTGCCCCTTGCAGGGCTGCAGGGCTTTCACATCCTTCTAGCAGCCAGTGGTTAGTCAAATTAGGCTGTTCTGAGTAAAAAATGCCCCAGCTTCAGGAAATCAAAATGGTTGTGTTTCAGTTTTCATTTAATGTTTTTTTTTCAGCGGTACCTTGGGCTGTCTGAGTGTGTACTTTAGTGTTGTAGCTTGTTTCTTTCTCTGTACTAAAAAGCTGTGCAGCTCGGGAAATGTAGTGGAGCAACTGTTACTTGTGAGAGAGAGCTGAAATTGAGAGGTGGGGAGTGGTTCTGGGAAAGGAAAAAAGAATATGCAGTGTTGAGAGATGAACCTCTAAAAAAGCAGCTGATTGAGCTACTGAGGTGAAGGTGATGGAGCTACTCGAGGTGCTCTGGGAAGTCTGAAGTGGCTTTTGCCTTCTCAGAGGGGAAAAGATTGACTGTGATCATCAAGGACAGTGGTGAAGCAGTGGCTGAGTAGGGAAGCAGTCCCCAGTGCAGGTGCCTGGCAGGTAACCCAGACAAGGAAAATCCAGATAATGCAGAACAGGGGAGGAAGGAGCAGGGGAATGAGTACAGAGGCGAGGAGTTCCTTGAACTGGTAGTGCCTAACCGGGGAAACTGGGCTACTGGTGTGCCCTCAGGCAGGCAGTGCTGCTGCCACCACCTCTGTGCCAAGTCATTCAGAGAAAAAAGTCACAATAGCTGAAGGTCAAAGTCCCTGAAGTTGCACAATGGTGCTGGTCCCATGGGGCTCTCTCTGTGGCTGAAGTGCCTCAACACTGAGGTTTTACTCATCACTTAGCAGGTGGGCTGCCAGCCCAGTTACAGGACCCAACTGGAAGCAAAAGGTTGTCCCACTCTGTCTGGGCTCCCTGATCTTTATCCTCAGACTCCTAAGACGCTGAGAGGATTGCAGGGTGTTTTTTTCAGTCTCGGGCTGGGCTGTGTTGACCTTACCTGGACTTGTGTCATTGCAAAGGGATGACCTTGGGCTGCTCTCTGTGTGTCCTTGGCCAAGCTGGACCTTGGGGAAGCTTCAATCCTTACAAAGATGCAGCCCCAAGTCATCTTTCCCTGCCTGCAAAGCCATAAGAACCCAGCCCAGCCTGTTCCAGTTGCTTCATTCCTTCCCTCAAGTTAGGAATAAAAATAATTCTGTGCCTTTCTGCAAACAAAATGCAAATGAGCAGTGACCCCCCTGCAATTAAGGGGCTGTAATAAAGCTCTGCTAGGGAAGGGTGTGGGCAAAGTCAGTGATGTAACAGCCCTTGTTGCACAATATCAATCCAATTATGGGGCAAGACAAGTTCGAGGGACTTTGCCATCCTAATGCTGCTTAAGGTGGGGATTAGAAACCTTGCCCAGGCCAGGGAGCAAGGTTTGACTTTTTGTTAAAAAGCCATAATCTCTTCAAACAGCAGATGTTAAGGTTCAGGCATGGAAGAGCTTGTTTTCTTGGAGAGGAGGCTGACATTGAACTCTCAGCCCAGCTGGATCAACAGGAGGTGTTTTCAAGTGTCACCTGTAAACAAGATACAGTGAGATGTGGTTCTGCATTTCCCCCCCACATTTTTATCCTCACACCATGCCACTAGCAAGGTCTGCTTTTACAAGAGTGTCAGCTTGGAGGAAGGGCATTCTTCTACATGATGACTAGAATATTTGGGAGTGATGGTCTCACTCCTTCAGGGCAGTAC